ACTTTGTCTTTATATTTTTTAAATTCAGAAGTTCTTTGATTTGATGAAGATGATATAGGATGGGCACTTATTTTTCTCCGTTTTCTCCATGACGGTGCATGTGTCAAATCATCATTCTTTACCTATCAACAAAATACATAATGTCAATCATAACAAGCATACTAAGCATACCACACTCTTAATTTAAATTATCAGAAAACAGAAAGTAGGTGTCCCACAGATCAGACAAGTAAATATAATTATGTATTTACATAATTAAGGCATAGCCCCTTTTTAAGCAGGAACATCAATATATTTTTTTTAAATACATAATAAATTGTTTGATTTTTAAATTCTTAAAAACAGTTTATTTGTTTCAATATAGAATTTCTAAATTAGGTGGGATTAAAGTTTCTCAATCATCATTTTGAGTGTACTCTTTTATGCATGGGCTTTGTTTGTCTTTTGTCTTTTTCCTTTGGTGATGTCAAATTATTTTTAGTAGACACTCAGCAGCCTGGATGGCCAATTGGTCTAATTAATTCAACTACTATATTACTAGGCTGTCAACACTTAGATTGTGAGTTTCGAATTTGAAGCAAATCTTCATTGACCAGTATTGTGAGTTTTTTCTGCAGAAGATTGGCAGTTTAGGCATTCCAGCACCCTCCACCAATAAAATCAGGCCGCCACAAATAACCAACGTGCTTAAAGTGGCATTAAACACCAGATAATCAATCAATTAGTGCACACTTACCTGAATGACAGGTACTACCACCCCAACACATTCATAATCATCATCATCATTAGAGTCACCTATGCCATCTTTGAGAAAGCGTATCACTGGTTTTGAAATCACTTTAGGAATTCCTTTCAAATTCTCCCATACAGTTTCATCACTCTCTGACAAAGAAAAACTGAAATAAAATGATTTTATAATGCTTAAAACTGCATATTTATAACCTGGCACCTACTGGCCTCTAGTTAAGCAGCTATCGCAGGGTACTCACTACGATGAGTTAATGAGTCTATTAATGGACTCAACATTTCTGAACCAAAGAGTCCAAAGATGCATTAAAATTGTATCAGCTGAGTCCTGCAGTTATCATCATTTCATTGCAAAAATTAATCTGAATTTGATTCATTTCTCATTTTATGTTGATAAGGAGACCAAAGTTACAAAGTAAGGCATTGATTTTGTTTTCTACATAACTTTGGACTTGCCCTGCTTAAACACATTGAGTCCTTAGACTGTTAAAAATCCTTAGTGAGAACCATATTTTCCTACTCAGTTTAAAATAAATGTTCTAAATACATGCATACATGTGTGACGTGTAATCATAAGTAAACCTTTTTTTCATTTTTACTGTAAAAATATTTATATTATCAATCCCTCATATACATGATGTACATGTAGTATAATATATTTATGGTACATGTATGTTAGTTCCTGTTGTCCTTTTAAAGTATTATTTAAACATGATTGAACATTTTAGTTTACCTGTTTACCTTGAATGTCATATTAAAACCATACCTGTACAAAGACTGGTTACTGTAAGTTTAGAAATTTGTGCATGTACTTATTTTTGCGATCGTTAAATAAAGGACAAACATTTTTGCGATTTCTGAAAATGCTACAAACATGACAAACAAATAATGCTATCAAAATTAAAAATGCAAGTTTTTATTTTTGTGACATAAATTTTGGAATTTTAGCAATAAAAACATTTAAAAATTTCTTAATTTAAAGTCAATCTGATTAAAATACAGCTACTGCGTCCAAGATTTGCTAACAAGAATCTGCATGATGACACTCCGTTTTTCATTATTACATCAGCCAATGAAATTAATCCGAGAAAACCAGAGGATCACGAAAGTTCTTCAAAACAGAAAGTAGAACGGAGCATTTTCATATCCTTGTAAGCAAAGCTTGGACACAGGATCTATATTCTTATCAGATTGAATATAGATGCTTACAATGTATCCCCGAGCGTTTGAATACTTACTCAACCTCTAGACAACACAGTTCAGCAAATGTTCCAACAAATTTAGTGTAGTTTCCTTCATAAGCTTTTTTATGTATTCTTGTCGATTCAATATCTTGAAAAAGCTTTTTAAAAGCTTTAGTAAATTTCATTACTCTCTTCCTGACATTGCTACAAAAAATATACCAAAACTAAATGGAGCAAAACATGCAATGTACAATGTTCTATAAGAAATTGTTTTATTTCATTAGTTTTTTTCAATTTTATTACTGATTGTTACATTATCTCAATAACATGTAACACATTCAAACTCATCATACTTTTGTACCTTTAGAGAATTTTTAAAATAAAAAAAGAAATCATTTTAGGCTACAAATAACTTTGGTGATGGTTTCAGTGAAACATATATATATTTTTGTAGATTTTGTATTTCTGGTCATTTTACTGTATCTGTCTATATATATAATAATTTCCCCTTTTCAGACAAGACTCTTTGTAACATGCCCTGCCTTTCATCTTCCAGTACTAGTGCCCCTCAGTCATTAAATCCTAGCTAGAGCACAACAATCTATGATCATCATGATCATACATGTATTAATCATAAACAAAATAGTATTGTTTCATTTGACTAGGAAAGGAAATGTCATGTTTTCTGTATTTTAAACAGATCACAGGAAGGTGTATTAAAATGATTAAGTACACATTCAAGTCTTTGTTTTCAACCGGATGGATTCGAACCCACGACCTCCTGCAATTGAGGCGACCACGCTACCACAAGACCACCAAGGCGGTTATCAATGTTTGAATCTCAATCTATGACTTTGAATTTTCAATATCTTAATGTCAATTTGTGACTTTTATTGACCATAATGCATTGTATCTAAATTTAAGATTTATTTTTTCTAAGATACATGATTTTGTACATTTCGAAAAAATCTAAATATATCACTTAAATAAGAAAAACTGTAAGAGAATTAATATATATATATATGTCTATACGTTTGTATTAAAGTAAAATAAATAACTTATACAATTATATATAAAAACAATAAGATGTGGTATGATTGCCAATGAGACAACTCTCCACAAGAGACCAAATGACATAGAAGTTAACAACTACATGTATACAATGTAGGTCACTGTATGGCCTTCAACAATGAGCAAGACCCATACCGCATAATCGTTGTCCTTTATGTACGTTGTAAGATGTAAGTAAATTTGTCAGATTTAAATTTTCAAGATTTGAATAATCTCTTTTTGTTAGATAGCAAAACATACATTTACCTAAAGCATTTTATTTTGTGGTTTGCTAACTATTTTTTTTTAACATGTTCAAACTTATTTGACCAAAATAATCCAGTTGCAACTAAGATTTCACTACATGCTGCTATTTAAAATCCTATATGTAAAAAAACGCAGTCACAGTGTAACAAATAATCAATCAGCCATCTTTTCATGCAAATCTTTAAATTGGCATACGGCAGATTTTACAGTATTGTGTTCTGCCTCCTACTTCCATGATAAATAATTAAAGAAGGCATTACACGAAAAAAAATTATATTTTCTGAAAATTTATTATCAGTAGATCATAATTCTTCAAAAAAGGAGTAAATAATGTAAGAGATTATTGAATGGTTGCCAAGGAAACAGGATACCCACATTTTCTCCTTTTGCACCCTGGTCCAAAATTTCATTAATTTTGGTTTAATGCCTTTAACCAGCAATAAAACCAAAATAAATTCTGAAAGGTAAAGGGTTTAGGAAGATATTCAGCATCTTTCACATTACTATTTCTAATATATTAGTGGAAAAAAAATATGTTTAAGATGATGGACATGTGACATATGGAAAATGGGACAAAAGTTTATGTTTTTCAAAGTAAATGACATCTAATACACAGTAAAAAGAATTGAATAAGTATAAAGTTGCATGTGTTGCCAATATTTACTTTTTACTAGTTTAATTTGTGCCAGATTCTTAAAAGAAAACATGTTTTGAATTAAGGCTGTTGCTAATGTGACGGAGACAAAAATGAGTAACGTTAGCGACATTTGGACATGTCACATTAGCAACAGCATCTTTAAAAAATAAAATGTATGCACACAGTCGTGCTTTATAAATGCTTTGAGTAATTAAATTGTACAGTCTGGTTTAGAATATCTAAATATACAGAATGTCATTGGCAGGTGTACTTTGTATCAAATGAATACACAAGAAACCAATTTGTAATAGTAACATTAGCAACATCTTCTTCAGTAATACATTAAGAAAATTTGCTATCTAGATGGGTCGCACTAAATAGGGCCAAAATTGTTACAGGAGGTGAAAAATAAGATTCATGATATCTTTATCGAAAAAGTTTTCAGATGTAACTGAATGATTCTTCTAGATCTGTTCATATCTTTAGTCGTGAACTGAGATGTTGATATGATATGAGTACCAAATGCAATAAGAACTGTACTTTGTACCAGACTGACACACCAGATTTTATGGATGGATGGATTAATTATTGTTTAACGTCCAGTGTCAACCTAGTATGTGCACATCAGGACGAGAACAAGTTGATGTAATATGATCTCTGCTTTGTACTAGACCGACACGCTTAGATGGATTTTCCACAAAGACTCATTATACAGACTCTGCTGCCTCTGTAAGCTGACCTTTGCTTTTACTCCTAGATGCTTTTGGCTTGGATGAGAAGCAGCAAAGACCCAATTTTAATGTCTTATTTTATCTGGCTACGAATTTAACCTGCAACCTTTGGCACTCAAAACAGAAGGGGGATATGGATTATTTATGAAGCACAAGCCAAAATGCCCATGTAATGTCTACCAAGAAACATCAAACAACAGAAGAATGAACAATTTCAAATCAATTCGCAGTGAAGATGGAAATACCATAGTGATCAATGCCTCAATGACTTTCACCATGGATTTTGGTAAAGAAAGTCTTTTGTAGTCTTCAGAACACCTTGCTTTGCCCATTTAATTCATGATGCATTTGCATTCAAAAGTCGAAAATACTGCCTAGACTAAGAAGCTTAAAAATATTTTAATGTTTGAAAAATTTATCGTCTCTGTTAGTTCTGGAGGACTTCATCTGAAAGAAAATAAATTGAAAATATTACTGGTATATGAATACAATTTAAAAAATGAACAACTATTAAAAATTTTAAAATGTATTGAAGTACTGCCTTCAAATTTACTTCAATCAAGACATAGTTTTTTGCCGAATGCTTTCAGTATATATGGTAATTAAAGATATGTTGTCATCATTAATTATAGCTAGAACAGTTCAAGTTACCATCTTCTTTTAATGATTACCCGAGATTATGCTAAGATACCCCTGAAAATCAAATGTATGTTTATCATTTGGTAAATTTGTCTGTGAGCAATGACTTTTATGCCAATTTTGACAATTTTAAGAACTGGACTAATTTTGGCAATTAATATACTAAGTTGTTATTATAAAAATAGAAGATGTGGTATGAAGCTCTTCGAAAAGGAAAGACTATTACCTTCAAATATATATATAGTAATGAGCGCCCCTTCATTACTATATTAGACTGTTTTAATTTTCTTATATAACATCACATCAACAATATACTGTCCCAAAGTAACGATCGCTACATAAAAATCTGTCCATGTTATACCGTTCGCATCAAATTATTAAAAGAAATGTATTTTGATGAACTAGAAGACTCAACTGTACGTAAAATATGGTCAAATCTCGTTGGGAGATGAAAAACCAAAACAAAAGTTTCTTAATGTGACATTTAAATGACATTACTTGATTCAACGTTTTGTTGCGAATGTCTTTTTGATGGAGGGAATACAATAAAGGACCTCGTGTAACGATATAACAGACAACTTACCTTCTTTGCTTTCCCATTATGTGAGGGAACCGGCTCCGCATCCATTTCTGCAAAGGGCGATATCGTAACTCCTATACAGGAGAGTTACATATCTAAATATATATTGCTCACGTGACATTGATTTGGACGGAAACGTAGAGCAGTAACGTTCGCAAAAACTAAAACAGCCAATGATATTGATTCCGAAAGTCCTTTGACCCCCTTTCGTCATCAAAATTTAATGTGATTGCTATTTATATCAATTATTTATAAAACCCGAATTAAAAATAACAACGGGCCGTCTGAGAACCAACAAATAAATTGCGATCGTAACATACCACAATGGACGAAAAAGATGTGACGTTCGCAATAATATTATTAAATTACCTTTTTTAGCCTTTACCAATAAAAATGTGCCTTAGAATTATAATTAAAACACAAAAGAATACTTTTTATTAAAATATAAGTCCATGTTATTAGGCTCCACTTAAAAATAATACTTTAAAATTCCACTCCAAATAAGCTAGATGTCAGTCAAGTAGGTCACAATGTCTATTCAATGTCCAATATTTTGAAATTGAAAACCCACTAATTCTAACAAAAAACATAAACACAGGATGATTTTTATTTTTATTTACTCAGAAAGACACCTTTTATTAAATAAAATAATGCATTACTTCATTTCACACTCTGTTTCACAGTTTCAGCAATACCTTTTTTGATGGATACAAAAAAGCAATACTTCCTTTTTATTGTAAAATCTGCCATACACAAATTCATTCGTCATGTTCGTGAAACAACTTTAAAAATTTAACCAAACAAAATGGTCATGACTGACATGAGAGTTAAATAATTATCATTAAATATCTTATAACTAGGATTTGTATTTCAAAACTTTTGAAATGTCTGTCCATAAGTAAAGGGCCTGGATTAGGGGTGTGGGGTGTGGTAATCCTTCTATTAATTATTAATTTTTTTCTATTCTTTATTTTTTGGCCCATTATTTTCTATTCTAATATTTGTAGTATTAGAACTGAATGTCAAATATGAATTATACTTATATACTTACATGTTAGTCTCAGTTTTCAATTCTTTCAGTGTTTGATCAACATTTTCTTTAAAACTATCACTATTGAATAACAATTTATCATAATTTTCAACATTAAATGTTACATATTTCTTTACTTTTTGAGCGTAGAACGTTTCTTCTTTAGTCAGTTCTTCAGATAAAGATTCTATCTTCCTTAGAACATCCAAAGGATTTGGTATATAATCGTTATGATAATAAATATTGAGGTATTTTTCAACCTGCGAAATCGTCCATTTTGAGACACATTTGTTTAAACTTTTTGCCATCAGTTTTTCTCCTGATATTGACGAATCTGTTGCTGAATCAGAGGACTGTTCTGATGTTGAACAAGTCGTTTTAGCAGTTGCTGATTGATCCAGTGTTGAACAAGCCATTTGCATTGTTGAACTTATAAGGGATGTTAAGTCCTGGGGAGCGGAACAAGGTCAATGATATCTATTATTTTCTTTTTATGAATCTGCTAACCGACCACTCATACTGCATGATAGACTTTTTCTTCTTCTTATGGTATCCAGTTATCCATCAGACTGTCTGACTGCATGTCACTCCCATATAATTACTGATTGTAAGATCTGATCATGCCGTGACCATTTAATGTAAATGTGGTTGTGCAAATATATATTTTCTATTGTCTATTACAGAGGCGGATCCAGCCATTTTTAAAAGAGGGCGTAAAGGGGGGGGGGGTATCTGCACGGAAGAACGCGAAATAAAATTGCCATTTCACGATGAACGAACAATTAAAAATTTCTTGCACGTTGATCTTTTTACCGATTTCACGAAACACGATGAATAACGAACCTTTTTCACGGCTGCACGTAAAATCAAAATGACAAAACACGTTGCACGAAAATAACCCTTTACCACCCTCTTGAAAGGGGGGTCCCAACCCAGGATATGGGTGGGGGTGGGGGGAGGTTCCAATTATATGTCCCCATTCAAATGCATTGATTGTCAAAAAAAGGGGGGTTCCAACCCCTGGAACCCCCCCCCCCCCCCCCGCCCCCCCCCCCCTGGATCAGCCACTGCTATTTTAGAATGTATTGTGCGAAACAAGAGAAACTGACCACTAATTTTAATAGTCAGGGGCGGGTCCAGGTGAGGGCGTAATGGGCGTACCCCCCCCCCCCCCCCCCCTTTTTCAAAAAAAAAAACAACCAAACAATCGTAATCTGCTTATATTGTATTGAATATGGCAATTTATCATATTTATTAATTAAACACATACTCTGATTTCTTTTTATACTGATTCCCCCATCCGGTGGGTGATCCGTAAAATTTACCATGAAGGATGATCGTCTAAATGCTCTGCTTCTTCTTTATGTTCACAGAGACATTAAACTCGATTATGATAAAATAATTGACAATTACGCCATGAGAAATCCGCGTAAACTGGTTCTAATGAATCCACTCTAGTCTAACCATTCATTGAAAATGAGAGTCCGTCAGTATTTCTGTGTTCATTTTAGGTTTTGCGTTAAGTTACATTTATACTACTAGTAACATGTATATTTGGTATAGCATTTTTACTTCCCATCTGGATAGACTTTGGTAGTATCATATTGTTTCACTATCCATTAGTGAGTAACTAAGTGACATTGACTTACATTTTGCCATGAAGTTCAAGCACAATATTTATTTATGTACCATATACCACCTATCGGAACTAGACAGTGACATGATTGCTTTAATCAGGAGCGTAGCTACCTTCTAAACGAAGTGGAATCACAAACTAAAGGGTGAGGGGTCTGGGGGCCGCCTAAGACCCCCAGTATGTCCAGGGAAAAGCCCTGGTAGGGGGTCCAGGGGGGGGGGGCGAAGCCCCCCGTAAGCTCCGCATATATAGCGTTTCAAAACAATCACAGCCGTAATAAAACTTGGACATTTTTGTTGTGTTTTTGTTGTCAACTATTTGTTTAACTTCGAGTCGAATGAAGACTAAACATTGTCGTTTGCGTTTTTTGTACGCCGTGAAAGCTTTTAAAATCACGGAGATTATTGTTTGTTTTTTTATACTTCTTTGCTCAATACAAATACTAGCATATGGAACAATTAAACTTAAACACACAATACTATATGTGGAGTTTCTGTTAGCATAAACATCATTGGATACCAAATACTTGGTGGACACATTCTCCAATATTTTACTTAACATATGTATTTAGATGTTTAAAAATTTTATATGAATTTCTAATTTTACGCAGTTAGGAATTGTCGAAGTTGAAATTAATGAACTTTTTCATAGGGAATGGTACTTTGATCACGATCTTTTTCATGATCTGCGTTTGTTTATTATCCAGCTAATTAACAAACACATATGCATTCGACCAGTTGTATGGCAATATCTAGATGATAACAGTGAAGATACGTGTATTAAAACTTTGGTGTATCTTTCGAACAAGAATCAGCAGTTTAGTGTCCGACTCGGACAGAAAATTCATTATAAAATTGAATGACTAAATAGTCCAGTAAAACGAGTTAGAATTAACAATTTATTTAAATGCTTTAACAATCTACCATTCGTATAGCTGGCCCATATAGAAACGACTTCCAATTATCGAATCTATATACAAGATGTTTTTTTGTAAAATAGATGAAAACGTAATACATGAACTATTGATTGATTGAATGGTTATTAATGTCCGGTAGCAAATATTAAATGCACACCAGGACAAGAATACGTTGACGTGATGTGAAAATGAACTATTCAGGTTGTCAAAACCTACATACTTAGTCAATTTTGAACTAGTTCACAAGGTAACAGTCATTATTCCCGGATCGATACGAGTTGAAGAGTCTTTGTTCTAGTAAGATGTGTGCTATGGGGCGAAGCGGAAAATAATAATTTGCAAGTTTTTTTGTTAACCCTAAAGGGATTATGTTTTTTTTTTTGCACTCAAAGCGAGTCTACGTTATGGTGGTGGTACCGACAACTATGTAGCTGGTATTTTCTAAACAATGCCCATAATATAAAGAGTTTACACCAGTTGTATGTATTTATGGTACACATACATGTCTTACATGATTAAAAATTTCGCTGCATGTGTATTCCTCTTGCTTTTATTCTTTGTGTTGTTTTTAAAATGCATACATAGAAAAACCAATTCCTATATATGTTAACTTTGTCCCCCTCTTTCTCTGTTTTTTTTTCTTTTTTTTTTGTGAAAACGACGTGGATGCACGTGCTGCCATGCCTCCGGGTAGCTACGCCCCTGTTAATTCAGTACTGAAGTACAATGACGTCAATTTTTCATATTCAATCATGTATTCCACATTAAAGCCTACAATATTTAGAACGAAAAAACTTTCTACTTAGTGTTTGTTTGTCTTGTATCATGTGCATGTGTCGTTCAACGAAACCAGAACTTAATCTAGAATAGAGAGATATTTGTCAGTCTGGCTACTTCATAATTTGATGCTAAATTGTTGAAATCCAGGAGCTTCTTAGCTTCCCCATGAACCCTTTACCAGGGCAACCGTAATTACGCCTCTCGTTCATAAAATCCTGGCCTAGGACTATTGAAATGTCAAGTAACGCCTTATACCCTAGAATTTGGAATTTCTCGTTATTGGTCTACTGCTGTTAAGATCCATCCAATCACATAGGCGGATCCAGGGGAGGGGGGGGTGCGGGGGCGGGGCTGGGGGGCCCGCCCCCCCTTTCTTGGGAAAAATTTGGTTGATTATATAGGGAATCACTGAAGCGTGACTGGATCGGGCCCCCCTTAGGTCAGTCAGCGGGCCCCCCTTACAAAAAGTTCTGGATCCGCCTATGAATCATCTTAATATACCATAGACAATTAATGGAGATAATTCGGCATAACAAATGTCAAACTCTGACACTTTAACTATATAATATACATGCTCCAAGTAAGGAACCGTTGTTACATTAGTGCATTTCACAACTATTTTATGTTTTTTAGCAAAAAAAAGGTCCAATTTTTTTTTACATCGACCATCGACCTTTCTCAATAGCAAACTGATGAGCACTGATTCTAAATTGAGTTAAGCTCT